CTAACTTCTGTCCTTCCTTGCTGCTTTCTTAATGACCTTAATTGAACAGTAATATCAAGTATTTGATGTTCAATGAAGACCATGACATTTTTCCAGTTAAAGGGAAGATATATATGCCTATGGCATATGACATCCACTCATTTTAACATGAAATGTACTCCTTAAAAAGGCCTGTTACAGACTCCTGAATGATAACAATGCCAACGAAAGGGAAGCACATATACACACTATTGTTCTCCAGAAAGCAGCATCAATTACCCTTGCTGAGTTCTACAGACAGTGCTAAGACCTGATACAACAGTAATTTTATTAATCTGCTCGATTTCTGGTATTTATTTGACATCAAATGTATCCTGCTAGCTTTAAGATCAGGGATATTTGTCATTGATATTTGTCAGGGATATTGAAGTCATTGGAACAAGGGCAGCTCTACTCATGCAGGGACTCATGGCTTGGTGAAAGAGTATGACCTGCCCTATTCTTGAGACACAGTTCAGTCCTGCAATGCTTCTACGGAAAGGTAAGTAAACAGAGAGGACCCTATAACTTCCCCCATTGTTACAAGTGGTAAAATAGAACAGGGGGCATGAGGAGTCCTTCTAAGTTGTTAGTTCTAGCTGCATAACATAAATGTATGAAACATAAAACATTAATCTATAACTCCTTCACGCCACATATCCTAATAAAGAGCTCTGTTACATGGAGATAGAGTTAGAGACTGTATCTGAGCCAGGGAACAACCAAACCTGTAATTTTTGAGGGTTTGGTATCAAACACAAGCTGTTGCATCTTAGCCAGTTTCTGTGTGTTAGTTGAGCCAATGGCTTATCCATGGTGCTGGTTGGTGTACTGGCTGGTAGAAGAGAGAACATTTTAACTATAATCTCTGTGAGAGACACTTGATTTATGGTGATATCTGTCATGATGCTACCAGCAATTTATTCAACAGTGAAGATGAACAAATGCGAACTTTCCCAAACTTCTGAAACCATGAAGCATTATAAACTGAGAAACAGATTGATAAGGTAGAATTGTAACACCAAAAAATTGGCTGAGAGATTTGTGAAAAAGCATGATCATTCGAAGTTTAAATGAAACAAGATAGAAAAAACAGCCATAAACATTTTATTTCTGCTTGGAAAAAACTGATGTTTCAATAGCTTGTGGTATCATGCTGTGTATTATTATGTTGCTATAAAGGCAGGCGTATGTGCAATTAAAATATGAATGTTGTTTTATTAATTCACAATAGCATATAACTAACATAAATCTTGACCCCACTGAACATAATGGAATTTTTCACCCAGGTCAGAATTTTAGTCCATAAAAAATTGCCTTTTTAGGGCATAATCCCCATGTACATTGAAGCCAATGAAAGCTTTTCCACTGACCGTATCTGCCCTTTCATTAGGGCAGTAGTTCCCTTACAAAAGACAGCTATAGTCTTGCAGACCTTCTTCACCATTATACTTGTTATGGTCACATTCCTGAAACTGCTTTAGTCTTCTTTTATCTGAGATAGATTTAACAAGGCCTGTTTTTCAAAGTTTCTAATGGGCTGCTATGATCTGAAGCCATCAACAGCCCTCTTGATTTTTTTTCTCTGCAATTTTGCGCAACATTTTCTTCTTTGCTTGTTTTCCTCTTTGATGTCTTTGAATACACTGGATGAGACGGCAGGATGTAGTGGTCTTACCTTTTCCTTATTTTTTTGTGATATGTTGTCAGTGAATAGGCAGAGTAGCAGTTTTATTTGTGTTTATTTTTACCCTTAAATCTACCATTGCAATTTGGATTTCTTCTTGTTTTAATAATTAAAATTTATTTCATCTCTGGTAGAAATTAACCAAGATGTTTAGTTGCATTCTGCAGTCCCCCATCAAACACACCCTTTACATTCTGCTGCTTTCCCAGGTCCTGCTTCTGTTTTCCACTAGTGCTTTCTAACCATTACTTAAGTTTCCAGCTCCTCCTTAAAATATTGCATAATACTACTTCTTTTGGTTTGTTTGTTTTTTTCCATTGTGATGTCAAGCAGTTATTTCCTGTGCTGTACTGGCAAATATCCTGTGCAGTCTATTTTGAGGAACTGTGGTTCTGCTGGGTTTTGCCTTCTACAGCTAGTTTGCAAATTTTAACTCTAATTTTAATTTTTACTAGACCAGGAGAATTTTCTCTTCCTAGTTTGGTTTGAACTTGATTTTTTAGGATCAAAAAGTTGCTATGAAGTGTTTTGGGGTTTTAGGATATCTTTCTCTTGGTTTCTAGACATTGTTTTCTAAATGCTAGAAAATTGAACATGTCTGTGGGCAAAGACATGAACCACTTCAGCTTCTGCAGGACTTATAGTGGGCAGGTGTACTTCCTCGGTTATTCCCAAGACTAATTTAAGCTTGAAGATCTTTCATACCGAGCATGAGTTTCAACATGAAAAGACAAATGCAAAGTCCTATATCTGGGATGTACTGATTCCTTGCAATGTTACCGGCTCAGAACTGATTGGCTGCGTTGCTGCTTTGTGGAAAGAGATGAAGGGGTCCTGGTGGACAGTATGCTAAGCATGAATGAGCTGGACTATACTACAAAGTGTGTAGCCAGTAGAGCACAGAAAGTCATTATCCCTCTTTACACTTTAGATTGCATCTGGAATCTAATTTTAGGCTCCTACCATAGGAAGTGTAGTGATAAACTTCAGAAAGGTCAGTAGAGGTCTGTCAAGACACCTGGGGCCTGGTGTACTTGCCCTGTGAGGAAAGGCTGTGGAATCAGGTTTGTTCAGTCTGAAGAAGAGGTGATTTCAACAGAACCCAGCACCACACCTGCAAGGAGGCTACTGCAAAAATGGCGCCATGAGCTGCACAATCAAAACAGGGAAATTCCGAGTGGATAGAATCAAAAAGCCACTGTGATGATAACTAAACTCCCATTAAGATATTGCAACAGGAAACTCAGAGAATTTGTGGAGTCTGACCTTAGAGTTTTTCAACATCAGTGAGAAAAAGTGATAAAAAATTTGCTTTGAATCAGCATTGATCCCCTTTTGAGCACTAGGTGGGACTAGATAATATCCCAGAGTTCCTTCCAACCTAAATGATTGTATGAATATCTTGTTCCTATAAACAAAGAGAACAACTACACATAAGAGATGTAACCAGCCTCGACTACTGAAAAAAAATTAGCCTATCAAGAATAATTATGCTATAGCCATACAGCCAAGTTTGGAACCCCAATGTGTTGGATGTTCACAGTGCGAGAAAGTCCCTGTGTTTGCAAAGTTTGCAATCCATTCAGCTAAACTGGACATAGAGAGCAGGAACACAGTAAGGTGAAGCAATCCTGTCTCCAGGGTCTCTTGATTCTTAGTCCAGTGCTTATAGACTGGACCACACTGCATTCATACTGTCTGCATAGATCTCCAATTTTTCTGAAGATGAATGTTTCATAAAGCATATTCCATTTCAGAGAGAAGTGGTCATTCAGAAGATTAAGGTCTTTTTCAAATGGGATGTTCATCTATGCCAGGTGATATGTTAAGTCTGAGTCATAAATATCTTTTATTTCCTTGGTCAGAAACTGCAGTGGAAGTGCAACTTGTCATTTTTGACTTCCAGCTTCAAGAGCACCAACTAAGTTTTTGAATTTGTTCCTTCATTTCTCAGCAACTGACTTATTATCCTGGATATTAAATGATCCAAATGTAAATGATGCCAACTTAATTTGTTTATCTTTTTGGATAGTTGAATTTATTTTTTTCTGCAGAAATGCTTCTAACCTGACCTTCTTATGCTGAATGCACTTTCCCTTCTAGAAAATTCAGGGACTATTTGAAAGCTTTACAGAGCTTGATACTGCTGTTGGCTGCCATATGTTATCATAGAAACTGTCCTTGTTCTCCTGCTTTCTGGTTGCAGTTGCTCTCGTCTCTTCCTTTGCAGATCAAGCAAGATAATTTAGGACTGAACACTTTATACTGTCTTCCATTGGAGTCATATGGTTTTGTAAAACCTAATTAAATGTGGCTGCATTTGGGCTGCTGCCCCTTTATTAGGAAATGCTAGTAGGACACAGTGCAGGGGGAGCACAGTTATTCAAGTCTGTGACTCTGAATTTAAGAAGCGGTTTGCAGATAGTCTTCTACATTAAGAAAAACACCAAAGTCAATCATAAACACAGTCAGTCACTGAAACTTCCAAAGAATTATCTGGCTTCACTGCAGGCACAGATAAATTAGAGATTATGGGCATAAGTCTTTTTTCGCACCAGGGTAAATTGTGAGCCCTATCACTGAAGTCAACAGATCTCAACAAGAAAAGAATTAGGCCCTATGGCTTTTAATAAGAGGAATACAAAGAGCTTAATTACAAGGAATCAAACTGAACCTCTCTTCCCCCATACACAGACGTTGCATACGCTCTCTGGTAAAGTTTGTCTCTCGTAACATTTTTGTACTTCTGTTATCCTTATGTTAATCAGATACTACCTGTGTGCAAATATCAGGGACTTAGATGCTGTAAGGATGAGGGCCATTTAGATGTTAACATATAGGGTGGTTAAATCACTAGTAGAGCTGTAGCTCATTTCTGTATTGAAAACCATGGTGAAATCCCAATTTTGCTGCAGTTTTTGTCCTCCATGTTATGACTCAGAAAGAAAACTTCAGAGGAGGAGTTCATTTTCTGTGCCAGGGAGGAAGTTTCTCACCTAAGCAATACTTCTCTGAAGGATTAAAATAATGTACAGCACATGTAAATTAACAGCTGCTAGAAACTCTGTTAATACAAATATAATGCTTTATTTCCACATACATAAAAGATAATATACGCCTATAAAAAGACTTGAAAATAAATAATATAAAAAGTTATATTTGAGCCATCCTCTGTGAAAACCTGTGACAAAAAAAGCAGGTGCAAGATGAAGACTCCAGTTGGGGAATATAAATAATAGTTCAGGAACAATCAAGTGTTGTACCAGATTATTTTGACAAAAATGGAAGTACTTACAGTCTAAGTGACTATGTCTGATGCCTTCCACATCTTCAGCGTGAATGAAATGGTAACATCTCTTTCCTACAATATCTACAGGGGTCAGATCCATGTAATCACTAATCCTAAAAAGGAAGAAGAATACACAGCCTGTAACTCAAAAAGGAAAGAACAAAAGAACTGTCAAATGACTCAGAAAGTGAAATCTGTTAAAAAGTTTTTTCCCCATTATAGTCATTTGAAGGGAATATCTGTACAAATGAGACACAGCCTAAAAGGGAAAGGGGGAAAAGAAAGTTTGTTTGTTTGTTTTTTTTTTTTTTTTTTTTTTTTTTTAAGAAACCTGGAAATTATTTTATGCATTTAAATAAGTGGAAAATTAAATTCTAGTACATATTGTCCCAGTAGCATTATACCAAGACAATATAATTCCATGAAATTATAAAGCATTAGCAACAATCCAAAATCCTCATTAAAAGACTAAGATGATTCAAGGTTACATAATAAAGTAGAAACATGTTATGTTTATACCAAATGATTAGAGACACATTTCATTTCAACAGATTGGTCTTCTATGGGGTATATTCATGAAAAAGCTCTTCAACCATTTCTTGGCACGAAGTCCAAACTGATTTTTCAAGGGATATAATTTAAATGCTGAGACACACAGATGCCTCAGGGTGTTATCTTTTTTAGTCTAATTCATTTGGGAGCTCAGCTTTCACTCTGGGCCCTTTCAACTGGGACTTTGTTGTTTATTGCACATAGAAACTTCAAAATCTATTCTGTGGACCTTTGTGTGCGAGTGTGTGTGTGTTTGTGTCAGTGTGGGTGTGTAAACTTATATCATGGACTGTCAAGGTGTCAATGTCCTTAAATGTAATACAGAGATTATAAAGAAAATTGGAAAATGTTTTGCTCACACAAGCATTTAAAAGCATGGCTGTTTTTTAGACATAGAATCATTTTTTTAGGGTTTGAAATAATCTCCAATGACTGGGGTCGAGCCAACTTTTCAACTTTGAGATATAATTGTCATTCATTTAAGGGAGCTGTAAAAACCACTCAACATCTTGCTACAACAAGATAGCTACTGGAGTGTGATACTGGGGGATGCCTAAAGCAAAAAATGAACTGTGTGGGTCTGAGGGGTTGGCAGCAGGCAGAGAGGGTGAACACAGCCACTGATGCTCTCCTTAGCAGAGCTGTTTGTCTGGGTTTTTGAAGCAGGGGGAATGTACAGACTATAAAGAGTGAAGGACAATACCAGAACAGCTCTGGTGATTTGAAAATAACCCCAAAACAACAAACATGAAAAAATTCACAGGTCATGCAGGTGGACTCAAATTTGCTTGTAAATCTGTCAAATCAGATTTAGCACAAAACACAAGAGTCTTCTCTCCCTTTCATGACAGAGCATGTTGAAGGATGTGCACCTTCAAACAACTGCCTAGTAGTTATAGCACTTAACCAAATATGGGGTAGCCATCTGGGGATATCTGTCTAACGATTATCACAACTACAGTTGGAAAGCACTTCTTCTACCTTCTCTTGGAGGACACAATTCACCAGGATGAAGACAAATCTGAAACTGTGGCAGTGGGACTCCCTGTCTCTCCTGCTGAGTTCCTCCACTTTAGTTGCACAGTGAATTATTTCCTGGGAAGAAAAAGGACCTGGGATCTCTGCCCAGTGATAAGAAACCCCTCCAGAAGGGAGCCTGAGATTTAAATGTTCCTGTTCCCTCTATATTATCTTTTTATACTAAACTAAGTGTATAAAGAGTCCATGATGCAGGCACCAGAACTCAGGTCTCTCATGTCTACACTCACCTCACTGGCACACTTTGCTGTCTCTTCTCTGGCCCAAGAACTGAGTGTTTTCTAGTTGGAGGTGGCTCTGCTTCAAGATACTGGAAAAGGCTCTCCAGGGAAGTGATCACTGCACCGAGCCCGTCTGAGTTCAAGAACCATTTGTGCTCTCAGGCACATGGTGTGATTCTTAGGGTGTCCTGCATAGAGCCAGAAGGTGGACTCGATGATCCCGATGGGTCCCTTCCAACTCAGCATATTCTATGATAAGATCAGGGAGAGAAAATCTCACCCTGCCAGCCTAGTAGAAAGAGGCAATCTCCAGGCGGGTCACTGCACTGTGGTGTTCCCAGACTGTGAGCTCACAGGACTAACATGAAAGATGATCATTCTGCTTCCCCTCTGGTGAATTTGACTTAGCTGGATTTTATTTCTCTGCAGTAGCCTGTTCATGTAAAGTCTTCACAGACAAAAATTAGCAAACATGGCAAGGCAACTGTGAAAGCAGACTCACAGTCCCTTAAGTTGCACCAGGGGAGGTTTAGATTAGATACTAGGAAAAGTATTTCCACCACTAGAGTTATCAAGCATTGGAATGAATGGGCTTCCCAGGGAAATGTTTGAGTCACTGGCCCTGGAGGTATTTAAAATGTGTAGATGTGGCACTTAGGGACATGGTTTAGTGGTGAACCTGGCAGTGCTTGATTTACATTTGGACTTGAGGATCTCAGAGGTCTTTTCCAACCTGAACTGGTCCATGATTCTATAATTTTATAGAAAAGATGTTTCAAACAGACATATGAAGGACAGAGGATTTTTTTTTTTTTAATGAAAAATGTGAAAGAAGGAAGAGAGAAAATATCCATATGTAAGTGATGTTCAATGGTAAGCAATGACATCAAAAACAGAAGCAAAAGAAATTACATCAAATAGAACACTTATGCTTATATGAAAGGTACTAAAGATGGAAAAGAAATAATTTACATGGAGAAAGTAAAATATATATGGTATATCTTGGAGCACTTGTTAGGAGACAGATCTTGTGGCACCCAAGTCCTGTGACAAAGTAAAGTAATAGGTTGATGAGTAAGAACTTGTCTTTACTGAATACACAGACCGCATCCTGTAACACATAAGCATAGGCTTATGTTTGAGTAGATCAGTGGTTCCACTGACTTACAGGACTGTTAACATGATTTAAATTAAAGGTAGGTATATGGTACAGCGCTTTGCTGAATGAGGAACAAATTGTGCACTCATTTGTAGACTTGTAGACTGTTTCTACAAATCTGAAGGAACTACTGACAACTACTGTGTGGCTAACAAGCCAAACCTCTTCCATGTGATTATTTCCTTTTGGGCAGATATAGCAGATATGGCTATACTGGTCCACATTAACCTGGACTATCAGTCGTCTCCAGATGGTCTCCCATCCTTAGCAGTTGACTCTGAAAACACAGCATTCTGCTTTTAGTTATTTATCACTGTGTGACATGATTTGTTCTCTGCAGGTGCTTTTTGCACTCCATTGACTAATAAAGAAATTTTAGACTATTTTAGACCAAATGGTGAAGCTTAGATGACATGAATCTTACATTTGCAAAAAATACATAAATATGCTGCATTTTAGACAACAAAATTTTGCATCCATATTTTACACTCTCAAAGCAAAATATTAATTGTTAGAAATAGCCAGTGTTCTAGCTAATAGAATTTGTCTCAAAGGGAAGCTAACTGTTGATTAGTTTGTGCACTGAGTCCAGGATTCTAAGGTAGATCTCTTAATTCAGAGAAAAGTAACAAGATGCACCCAAAGACCTGAGTAATGTCATTCCTTCTCACTGCTGTTGCAAGCAGTCAACCACTTGGAAAACTAGGAGTACTATTGATCTCACCCCTGCTGATCCAATGGTCCACTGTGAGCATTCATTTCAGTTAAGTGGCATGGCTTCTGCTCCATACTCCCTGCAGCTGCCAGTAACTCCCCATTGCTCCATAAATAGTGCTTACAGTTTGCCCAGCATGAATCCATTTTTCTCTGTTTTCATCAATGTTGTGCTTGCTTTACTTTGGCACCACAAAGAATTTCCTGGCTGTCTGCAAGTGCCAGGAGTCGAGCCCATATATTCAGGATGGGATACTTATCTCCTTTTCTATAGTCCCAGAAGAGAGATCCCAACTTCCCTGACTCAGAGAATGGCCTTGGCAAACGCCCAGATAATTAATCTGACAGCTGCAATCAGCTGTTCAGTTAATTCCTTCCCATCTTCTTTTTTTTTTTCTATTCTCCCAATTTTTAGAGTCATATTCAGCTTTGTACCTGCTATGAAATCCAAGTCCTGTCAGTCTTACTCCATTTTCCATGACTGGAAATCCCACTGCCTCAATGAGCTCATATTCACCTCCCAGCACTGGCAGAAGTGTTTTTAGTATTTGAAATTATTTTTATAAACTAATGTTAACAGTGACATCAGGGGCCTAAAATGGAACTATTGCAACAAAATATTTGAATTTATCCCTTTTTGTAAAAGTTTATATCAATGTGCTAACCTGATCAAAGGTATCCCATTGTGATTGAGCAATTATGATTGCTCATATCAGAAAGCTTCCACTCAACTTATAATATGCATGATTGCTGTAATAATCTTGTTTGTTCCACTGATAAGTCCCCTTGACAAAATTTATTTTGGCTAGATTACCTTCCTACTTGCTTTCCAGCCTTTCTGCCCTACCTCTGATTTCCATCAATAGACCCAAACTTTTTTACTGCTTATCTCTTCTTTCTCACATATCTTCACTTCTGCTCTAAATACCCATTCCCTGGATTTTATTTTTATTTTTCAGGGCCATGAGGCCTTAATGGTCTTGACCAGTCTCCCTACTCTGCCCACCCAGACTGTCAGCCCCCTGGGGCTTCTGCCCCCCCCATTCCCCCTCCCTCCCCAGCCCAGACTCCCATGTCACTCCCAGGGCTGTCAGCCTCTGCCAGTCTCCAGCTGCCCACAGCCCTGCCTGTTCATGTGTCCTACTGACCGGATCCCAGCCCATGCCACTGCCTGTCCCCAGGGAGGTGCCCAATGCCTGGGGCTGGGGCTGTCCCTGTGCCCCCTCTCAGCTGCCCTGCTCCCCTCTGAGATGGTGGGATGGGCTCTAGCTGCCAGGTCCTGCCCTGACAGACCACCATGGGGAGCTCCTGATACTACCAGCATTCAATCCCCAGGGAGCAGACAGATGAATTTAAATCCTATCTTTCACCTTCTGAGAGCACTTGTCGCTTTCACGTTGAACGTGGCCCCCCCTCAACCAACTCTTCATCACCTGTTTCCATTTCACTGCTGTCTTTCCCAGTATGCCCTTAACCAATTTTATTCTACAGTTTTCCCACCTCTAACTGCAACAGATCCCACCTCTCTAGCCTACTATCTAGGCCATCTGTGCTTCTGTTCCATTAAACACTGAGCATGATGTGCTGTAATCTGCAAATTAGTTCAAAAATGGAAAACTTTTAAACTTCAGACAGAAAAACTTGTGGAGGGGAGGATGGGGGGAGCATAAGGACAGGCATACAGGTCAGATCAACGTCTGTCTAGTCCCAAATCTTGGCTCTGAGAGGGACAGTGAAAGATTGTAAAAACCAGGAAAAGCTTAGAGAAATCCTTCCTGGTCTATCTTTCCTTATTCCAGCAAGATATCCTGCAAATCATAGTTTTTAATTTATTTTATTCTCTTAGAATGTAATGAAAATGAAGGTGGTGATGATGAGAGTGAATTCAGCGCTCTCATACAGCACTAGAGTGACGTTGCAGGAGTCACAAAGTTCAAAACTTCTTGCCAAGCCCATGGAACAAAGAATAGAGACGACCAAAACAAAGAAAAAAGGAGCTAAAAGCTGTACCTATTTTCACAGTAAATGATATTGAGGTCCATATTCACACGAGTGACAAACATGTGGCAGTCAATCCTGACTTCATTAATTGTAGGAGGTGGCAAAGCATGAGCAACGACAACAAGTCCCATGATTTGGCTGGGTACTGTCCGTCCATGTGATAGTGACACTCTCAGACGTAACCGGCCTGTTATATGAATCACCTGCAAAATAAAAACAATAAAAAAATACCCAGTGAACTCTGAATGCAATTGTGACACCGGTTTCTTTACTTCCTACAGATCACTTGACACAGCCTGAAACTGTACTAAGTAACACCAGTATTTTGGCTGTGTGATTGTTACAGAAAGAAAGTAGAAATTCAACAAGAGAGGGAGTGGGATAAAACCGAAATAAGGAAGTTGGAAATTAATAAAATAATAATTTTATAATATTTGGAAATTGAATATGAGACAGAAAGATAATCAGTTTTGAAGCTTTTTCAGAATGGTTTAATTGAATTGCTGGTCACCTACACCATGGAGACACTGTTCACTGCCTTAAATTTCTTCTTTGTGGTTGGCAATTTGAGAAACAACAGCCTGTAAGTTATCTATGAGCTCAGCCGCAGGATGGTCTTCTTGCATCCACAGCAAAGGTTTTAAAGAGCTGGCAGACATGTAATGACTTACTAGTGCACTATGTATGTATGGACAGCTCTGGAGGTGGTAGTTTCTTTCCATATTCACAAGATAAGACCAGAAGATGCCTGGGAGATCCGACTGTACCCCTAAGAATTTCACCCTCATTCCAAGAACACTGCCTGGAATGGAGTAAATCGAAACTCTGGGAAAAGAATAATCCACCACTTCCAGTCTCACTCCTTCTTTAGTTCTGTGGATAAATAGGTGAGTTGTTTTTTTCCAATAAAAGAATATAAATACAGTATATTGAAATGAAAATGGAAACTGCAGTTCCTGTACTCACGGATAAGAAAGCTGTGGGGACTGGCAGTTGCAGGGTCTCCCAGATTTTCACCCTATTGTTTTACAATATCTGCATTAAGAGAAAGCTCTCAGGAGATGAAGGCCGCTTTCACTATCATCCCATACTCACTACCCAGAGGTCAACAGAGATGCTGGTTGCTACTGGGGCACCCGAGAAGGTGACAGAAATGGGATGTAGTTATAAGTACACTGATACTCATCTCTAACCTGAGACACAAAGATAGCAGACAAACTCTTTGCTTCTGATCTGAGATTGATTGTTAATACAAAGTGAGAGAGAAGAAAATTTTTCATTTACAAGACTTCAAATCACAAAGTGCATCCAAATTTAAACTGCTAGCAGATCTGTGATCTAAGCCTTGAAGTTTGTTTCTCTTTTTTTAACCTCTATCATCAAAATATCTATTTTTACTACTGTTTTACATTTTGATTCTAGCCAGTGGGGTGAATCTGAATGAGAAAAGTGATCAGCTGCTGTGTTTGTCCATTTCAGTTGCAGGTTTCTGACCACCCTTGTTTGAAGTGGTTATGCCTAAATTCACACTTAAGGCACCTTCCCAGGGTAAACTATCCTATGAATATTTGAGAAAGTTCCTAAAGGCAAGGATGCAAAAACACCATTTCGAACTCTAATTTTTCTTAAGACTTCATTAACTAATGAAGAAATAGCTAAAGGAAACAGGATTAACTTCACAGGAGGGGCAGTAATACTATATTTTGCTCCTTCTAGCTAGGCTTGAATATACATCTCCTTTTTTATCATTATCTGTCTCTTTTTATCCTGCAGTTTCAGCTTACTGCAAAACTGAAATCTGTAAATGCTGGGAAAAATGCTGATGGATAACTTGTGAAAATGTGAAAAATTATCTTATAGGGAACATGTTATGCAAAAGTATTGTTCTGTTGTTTTTTCATAAGACTCCTTATGCTAATATGTTTGAAGTTGGCACTATCACTTGAGGGAATTTTTAAGATACATCATATTTATCTCTTCTTTGTATTTTGTTTAAACCTTCATGTCATTTGCAGCTAAATATCAACATGATCTGTTTTTGAACAACTCTCTATTCAGACACCACCTCACTTTTTTTTCTGATCCTTCGTCTGGAATACCTCAGATGTAACATTGCCCTAAGAGGCAATTCCAAATATATTAGATCCACCATATATTAACAGTGTTGGATTTCAAGAGAACTTGCTTCCAGATTCAAATTAGTTAGCTTGTTTTTAGCTTTACCATGGATCCAAACATGTTCTAAATCCCCATTTGGATTCAAATTTTAGGGGTCAGCACCCAAAAAAAAAAAAAAAAAAAAAAAAA